CTCTTTGTTGATGAATCTGCAGGAACTGCAGACTTTGCAGTAGCCAGCTTTTTCTTTTCAGTTGGTGGCTGATGCTCCAATTCCACCTTCCTGACCGCTGATCTCAATTTGTCAAATGTAAGGCATTTGTCATATAAATGACCACAAATGTCCTTCAATGTTGGGCGTAGTCCTTTAAAGAACATAGTGCGCAGCATTTCTTGTGATTCTATATAACCTACTAGGCCTTTCTGTTGTGCTTTACTGATGATATCTTCCAGACGACAACTCCATGTGGCACATTCTTCATCCTCTTTCTGATGAGCACTATAAAACTCTGCCAGTATATCTTCTCTTTCAGACACTGTTCCATATATGCTGTCAAGTTAATTCATAATGGCAGCGATGGAAGCTCCTGGGCCAAGATGCATAATAACTCGACTTGCCTCTCCCCTCAGAGAACGTCTAATGGCATGATGTATGACTTCTGGCTTGTACGATTCTCTAAGTAAGCACTCAACCTCGTATTTCCATACATCGTAGGTTGTGTCTGTCTTGGTGTTTCCAGAGAAGAATGAGATTTTTGGATAATGGATGTTAACCACTGATTTTGATTCTGCTGTGGTACCACTAGCATACTGGGGCTCCATTTTCACTTCAGATAACTTGCTCATGGATTCCATCCACTGTAAAAAGTCTTGTGGAGTGTCGGCTTTCGGCTTTATTTTCATTGTTGATAAAGCATCTACAATATTCTGAACTTCTGTCTGTGTGAAGGATATTTCCTCTTTCTGTGTTAAGTCTGTTTCCTTGGTGTTCGACATGATGACGAGTGTGATAGAAAACAATAAACAATAAACTAAGTTCATAAATTACATTCAAAATATTTGAAAAATGGAAAATTTCAGTTATTCACTCCAGATGTAACTTTAAATAATTTTCAATATGTAAGGGAGGGTTGTTCTAATTGAACAAATGAAATGCTAGACTAATATTGAAGAATAACTTTTTAATACAGGAGGGTAGTTCACATGTGGAACTAAAATAAATGTGGTATCGTATTTATAAACCTGAAAAACAAAAATAAATTTCTACTTCCGGTTAACTTAATATACTTCCGGTCAAATGATTGAACTATGCAAGTCACATAAGATTATAAATAAAGGAAAGATTGATCAACAATACAGTCTAAAATTTACAAGTGCAAGTATGGTCAAATTTCACTGAAATCAAGAAATATGCGTTTAAATAATACCTAAAGAGTAAATGAATGCAATGAAATAAACCCAATTCTTACCTGAAAGTCACATATTAATTCAAATAAATAACAAACAATTAGAAAATAAACGAAATTTTTAAGTCAAACCAAAAACGTGTTTACACAGGAAGCTGCAAACTGAAAACAAATTTCGCGCAGGTCGAGCTCGATCGAAAATGCGTAAATAAAGAAACCGATCTCGATATGAATACAAGCGTAAAGGCGGTAATTTCAAAACACAAATTTATAAATACAAGACAGTGGGAAATTTGGGGTTTTAAAAGAGCTGTTTTAACTATATCTAGTGAATTAGACTACTATACACTACAAACACCACGTGAATGAACCAACAGCACAAAACACCACTGACAATAAATGAAACTTAAACTTCCACTCAACTTATTGACACCTGTAATTGAAACAGAAAATTGAAACTGAAATTGTAACAGGGGTTTGTGTAAATAAACAAGCACGCCTCTGTCAGGTTCAGGTCTATTTTATTGACACAGTGAGCAGTATATATTAACATAGCCCTGAAATATAATAAAACAACAATATTATATCACATCAAATCAATCCTATTAATGCATCATTTATACATACATCTAGCTCTCATAGATAACATATTGATAATGATATATTATAGACAAGATGTATCTTTATATGTACATTGACTCTCAATAAAGGGAGATAACCCTTACAACTGATACATAGACTTTACATATTTTCTCCCATATAAAGGCATAAAAAATATTACTAATTAAAACAAATAGTTCCTCACCATTCTGTGGGAAAAGGCTTTAATTACCACATGTATGTATGATGTCATAAACATGTATATGGATTCTGTAATTTAATACAGTATACATTAAAATATATATATTCCATTAAAATAAAAAAAATCATCTGTTCACTTTGAACAAAGTAACCAAATATCTTGGTCATAAAATATATAGTGTAATTTGAACATAACAATTTACACTTTCAATATATAACATTACTGATCTTCAAAATCAATAATTCCAATCATAAAAATAAATATCTTTCTCTCATGGTCATTCATTCTATTAATATAAAGTGTAGAAGGGATTTATTATAATTGCATATTTACAGACTGCACAAGTTAATTAACTATTAGCAATAAAGAAAAGTTAGTACTTACTAAAAGTGGAAAAAAAGTCAGTCTCCAAGTCAAGGTCATGAGAGAGTCCATAAAATGAAGTCTTGGTAATCTCTCAACAAGACAAAGAATGAATATTTTGGCGGTAAAACCAATGACCAAAAGAATAAAACCAATGAGATCCAACTTTATAAACAAACTACCAATGAAAACCAATAAAACACCAAAACCTCTGACCTGCCCTAAGGTAACTAATTATTTATATACAGGTGTACAAGTTTACAGGTAGGGCTAGGGAAATAAAGGGGTGGATCCAACATTTTATCTATTATGGTAGTTTAATTTATTTACATTTAATTTAAAACATTTATTAAATAAATATATTCCACACTACTACATTGTGAAAAAGATTTTTTCCTAAATATTCCTTTGTAAAGCTTTGATCCCCCCATTGCCCCTCTCCCCCCACCCCTGGGGGCATGATTTGAGCAAACTTGAATCTACACTATCTGAAAAAGGCTTTCATTTAAGTTTCAACTTTTTTGGACCAGTGGTTCTTAAGAAGCAGATATTTAAAAGATACCACCAAAGAACGAGGGCGCTTTTGATTGGCATTCGGCAGGAATCTGGGCGCACTTGAAAAGTGAAAAATTCATTGACCTGTTGCATGAAATTTTAGCAATCTTTTGATGTATCGGGTTCCTGTGAAATAGGAAAGGGAAATATTTTCCCGATATTTTATTTTGATTTGCTAAAAAAGAATTTGAAAATTGGCTAGATGAGTCATTTGATACAAAACGTTGCATTTTCAAACACGTTTTTCTAAAAATTTGCTACCTCTGGGTCATCTCTCCATGATTTTGAAACATTATTTGTATGCATTTTAATGCAAAGAAACTAATGAACATTTGTAAAAAATGGAGAGAAGACCCAGAGACGATAAAAAATGAACTTTTTTCCAAAAAAAATTTCGATGTGTAAAAGCGGTGCTTTATTGTCGCTTTAAAAACCATAAAGCGTGTGTAGCGGTGATAGCTCAGTAGTATGTGTTACCCGTACAGTGCAATGCATAAGAAATATTTTTGGTTCGATCCTCGCATGGAGCGTTAATTTTTTTTTTTAGTACAAACAATCAATTCGTTTATCTGTTTATTTTTATGTACTGATTTATTTTTAAATAGATACATTCTGGTTCTGTTGCACCGAAAGCGAAAGCAATTCTTCCAACCTACTGATACTTAGTTATATACATGTAATCGCATTTAACTATACGCTATAGGTGTTTATTATTTATGTCAAGCGTTACTAAGTTTTACATGTAGTAATCATTAAGATAAGTGGACTGATATATTAATTTGACAAAGTATTTCAAGCTAAATGTAACATTTTTCCATGTGCGTAACTTTGTAGAGTATGTCCAGCTGTGGTCAGCCGACCAAATCGTAGACATTTAAACTATAAATGTTTCGTACGCTTTATTCCTGCAGATCACACGCCAAACACGCCCATCTTCTTTTCACTAATTCTTAATTATCTCCCCTTGAAAGAGGGTGTGACCCTCATTTGAACAAACTTGAATTCCCTTCGTACCCAAGGATGCTCACTTGAGTTTTCAGTCCAGGTGAGCTAAAGAGCGTTTTTTTTTTGTATATCATGCTTGTGAAAAATTTTTCCTAACAGTTGGTTTGATTTCAATAAAACTTGGTACATGTTTTGAATACTATGGAATCATCATTGTTAGTGGGGGACCAAGTTCCTGGGTTACTCTTAGCCACGAATTTACATTAGGATTAATGTACGAGTAGTGCTTTATTCTTAAAAAGTAATGGAGTGAGGCCCTGAAAGGACTGAGGCCCACTGCTTTTACGGAATGGAGCGCTACCAGTATATTAACCTGCTTAAAATCCACTTTCTTATCTATTTGTAGTTATTATTTGCTAAAATATCATAAAGAATATTTTTAAGATAACACTGTAAATATGCATTTAACATGTAAGTAGTATTTAATATATATAGAGAGAAAGTAAGGCAAAAAAAGTGTACTGAATTTATTTAAATCCGTTTTCATTCAACAGCATTGATCGTTTAGTGAGATGAATGCCTGCCTAACAAGGTGATGGTACCAAGTTGGATTCTCAACTGTATCACAGTTATTTTCTTTTAATGAAAATAAACTTATTAAAATTTTCTAAGTTCTTTCCTAGGTAGAGGCACGGGAAGGAGAATATGAACAAAACAAATTCTGTTTTCAATTTTAATTTGCAACTCTCCATTCCTGAAAAATAATGGAGCGCTCAAACAAAAGAGTGATGTCACAGGTGGATTTTAAATCCCTATGAATGAAAACTTTGTCAACATATGACTCAATGGATCTTCTTTAATAAGAAAAGTTATCCCTTAATTTACATCTGTGTCCCAAAGAACCAGTAAAATTATGTTTGTCCACGAACATTGACCCAATGAATTAAAATGATTCCACAGAAACTCTTAATGTAACACTAGATAAAAAAGAATTTGTTTTGAGTTCAGTTGCAACTTTTCTCTTCCTCTATAACAAGAACAAACCAGTAGAGCTAAAAATTCAATATCTGAGACTTGATTCATTAATGTGTTCTTCTAATAGCACAGAATGTCAAACAAACATTGTTAGGCTTTCAGTCTTTTATTTTAACAAAGGTACAAAATTAAGCAACATTTAATGCACAAAAAGCACTGAATATAAGAAATTGTCAAAAAAAAAATCTTTTTTCAGCTTTTTAAATCTTATCATATGTACACAAATCCACAATCTAATTAAAATTGGATCTTTGATCCACTCGAAGTAGATCACTACATAAAAATGTTTGGGTAGTATTGTACTTGGAGTGGATCATCAAAGATTTTATTTTAATTAGATTGGCAAATCCAAAAACAAACTCACAAAAAAAGTCAGCAAAAATCTTACGTACAAAAGGCACAAATGAAAATTTCCAAACTGTTAATACCTTACAAATTAAGAGAAATTACAACACGTGTAGAAATTGGCCACAGAAAATCTGATTATTGGTAATGTGTATGATAATCACGTGTGTAAGATGATACAGTGATTTGATTTCCCACATTTGCTGTACATATATTTTCTCAACCCTGGGTAAGAAGCATTATGCTTTTTGAACAATTTTATTTTGCATGTAAAAAAATTAAAAGAGGAAAAGTGGATTCATACAATGAATCATTTGATGATTATGTTGAGAACTTTTTAGTCTGGAGAGAAATCAATGGTCAACGCTATGTTACAACTAATACATTTATTAACTTATTATTAAATGTATATTATATTAAATGTATATTATATTAAAGGTGGAAAAACAAAATAAAAAATAGAATTTGGCAAGCTATTCACAGAAAATTTGAATACTGAATTCCTAGCTAATTTGGCCATGTGGAACAAAAGCAATTTTTAAAAAGATAAACTTATGTATTCATTTCCTTTACACAGATCTGATTTTATTTAAAATGACCTAGTTACAAAAAAAAAAAATAAAAAAAAAAATTAACAATTAATTGTGTTTGTTTTCAGTACTAGTGGAATGCACATATGGTAACAAACATATAAACCAGTACAATGCCATATCATAAGCACTAATGTGAAAAAATATCACATATAAAACAAGTCGCATACAGTCATGTATATATACAAGATGATCAGACAGTCTCCATGATGTATTGCACACAAATCAATTCCTCCGACCGCGGCGCTTGATGGCAGCAGTACATTGCGGACAGAACCATTTCCCTTTTGGGGCTTGAGTGAGACCAACACAACCATAGTGAAACCATTCAATTGGACACTGATAACAAACAAAATATTCTGATTACTTTCTGTCAAAAATTATGTTCATTCATCATATCATTCATCATATTTTAATCTTCGAAATTATCGATGAACAGACATATTACAGCCTACACATCATTCATCATATTCTAATCTTAGAAATTATTGATAAACAGACATATTACAGCCTACACATCATTCATCATATTCTAATCTTAGAAATTATCGATGAACAGGCATATTACAGCCTACAAGAGAATCAATAAATAAATCAGCTTTACAATTGTTAATGAGAAAATTATAATTTACAGTTAAGAGTTAAAACTCTTGACTTTATTATATGTTTGTTCTACACTTTGGTGTCAGAGTGTGACTCCACCCAGTGAACAGTTGATGGGAGAGATACCAAGCAGTGATCATTATATGTCTGCTATGCTACACAGGAAGCATAAAAACTAGGTCAATGGAGTGAGTGAATGGGTCAAAATTAATTCCCCATGTACAGTTGTACATGTAAGTGTTGAAAAAAGTCTGACATAATGAATTAAGTTTTGGCTTTCATCTACTATACATATGACAAAACCTACATATCATACATGTATGGCAGAGCATCTACTGACATACAGACACACAAACAAACACATCTGTTGCCATAAAAAGAACCAAATCACACTCACATCATCATTGTCGCACCCCACCATGTCTCCATATGACACCTGGTTACACAGACAGTACCGTGGTTCATTGGGGTCATTCTGCCAGTCCACTGGCTGTCCGTTCTCATCCACTATCTGAAGGTCATTGGATGTGTCCTCCACCATGGGAGAGGCCACCTGGACTGACAGGGGAGGCTGAGGTGTGTTGGGTTGTGTAAGTGTGAGGGACGGAATGGAGGAACCGGACAACTGGTTCTGTGCTTCTCTGATCAAAGTGTTCGCTTTGGAGGTCGCTCTGGAATTTGTAAAAACATGTTGCATTCAATTTTGCATATATTTACATTTGCTGTGTTTTCTACTAAGCCAACTGTGAAATTGATTTGAAAGCCATTTTTTCTACTCACACGTAGCAATATACACTGAGAAACTTGCGCGAGAAATTCAACCATTGAGTATATTTTTAGTGCATTTAAGGAGATTTGATCCTGAGCTTTTGAGCAGATTTTGGTCTGGACCTTTTTTTCTAAAATTCTGCATCATTTTTAAAGTCTTACATGAAATCTGGATTCTACAATGCAAATTAAACTACATCCAATGAATGAACTGCAATTAAATTCCATTCAAATAGGATTAAGCCAGGAACTATGCTTTGTGGCAGAAGGTTTTTTCAAGAAGAAAATGATCAGTTTTTCCCTTTTGAACTACATACAGTACTGTTAGATTCCTATTTTTCCATGCTGGTTGCACACAGAGCTGTTTTTGCAGTGAAATGTTTATGCTGGTTCTGAAATATCTATTAAATTAGTTCTTATGAATTCTTTTATTATATTGTGACAAATATAGTAAATATATTCTGAAAGTCCAGGAAAAAATTGAGCCAATTTTAACATAAAATTAACACTTTTTTAGTAATATCTAAAAATTTACATCATAGATCCCCACTTTTGTTTTCCTTTTCTGAATATATAAGATAACTTTGATCAATCTGCTTAAATTCAGCAAAAGTTTAATACTTTAAAATAATTTTCTTGCTTTATAAATGTTTAATGCCAGAAAAATCACATTTTGTGAGTGCAGAAAGGTCAAATAATTGATTATGCGAAGCAATTTGAAACTTTTTCATAGTCTCAATTTTAATGTGTCTTCTTTTCAATAGACTAACAGTTTAATTTGTCCAATGATTTATTTGAATAAAAACATTGGAGGGAAAACGTCGAAGATGTGATTTTTGATTAAGACACAAATTTCAGTGCAAAAGGTCATATCAAATGTACTGTAGCACCAAAAGAAGCATATTGACCCCCATTTTTTGTTTTGATGTTTAATTTAGCTCTGTGTGTAGAAACTAAAAATATACTTGACAAAAAAAGTTCAAGACTTTAAATATCAGGATCCAACCTCGTTAGGCATATAAAATGTAAATATAAGGAAAAAAAAATATAAGGAATGTTTTTCAGTTCTGTGTGAGTTATTGGTGTGTAAATCACACAGACTTGCACGTAGGGATATTTTTCTTGAAGCACACTAGCGCTTCATGAAATATCCCTTCGTGACAAGTCTGTGTGATTTACACACCAATAACTCGCACAGAACTTGAAAACAATCCTTAAGTATTAACAGAGAAAGTTTTTTTTAATGAAAAAATTAAAAATGTTAAATACAGTGTACTCCTCCTTTATTTTTACAATAATAGCACCTTCAATTGATTACTAACTAGTTAACTGTAGCAATACTCATACAGTTGAACTTCGGTATCTCAAACACTGATATCTCAATTACCATGGATATGTTGAAGTGATTTAGAAGTCCCGACCACTTATTCTTTAAGCATTTTACCCCTGATATCTTGAATCCTCGGATATCTCGAAGTTTTTTCTCGGTCCCATCGAGTTTGAGATAACGAGGTTTGACTGTATTATATAAGTCTTCTATATGGGAATATTTGATTATTTGTACAAATATCACATCTAATTTAAACTTGCTTTATACCTTCTATGAACTCTATTTAAAACATCTTTTCCTTACAATTTAGGACTAAAGATTTACTTGTAAGAAAATATATGATTTAAGGTTCAACAATGACTAACTTTTTGGAGCGTGGAACCTTCTGTGTGATTTCTGACACTGGGTTGGGGGTGGAGGGCTGTGAACTGTATGTGTACTCCTTGGCAATATTTGGGATTTCCTTTGACAAGTCTTTGGCCATGGCTACATAACTGGCCTTCATGCTTGGAGTTCGCCTTCCCTGCTGGCCCATCTGTAAAGACAGTGATCACTGAGTCAAACAAATTGTCAACTTAAATTTACCTGATGTATTTTGGTTTCAGAAGTTTCATAGTGCAACTTCAACGAACAACAGATGAAAAAAAAAGGAAATTCAGATTTCCTGGTCAAAATCTGGAACCCAAAATACAAAGCTCCAAAAGAATAGACTCTTGCTGAATCAATTGTTAATGCTTGTTATGGGCTATTTTATGTTGAAGTCCTGTCTTGAAATATTGCAATATGCTAACAAATTATATTGTCTTGCTATTATATGTACATGTATACTCTTCTTTTTACTCTGTAAGAAATACATGTAAATACCACAAACTTGGCAAGATTTCTCTATCTCAAAGACATATATCTTGCTAGTGTTAAAGAAAATCACAAAAATTCTTTTGACCTGTCCGAGAATTGAAAATAAGTAAAGACTTTGAAGTTCATTAAAGCATCTTTGTGACCTGGACATGCTGCATCTTACCACTTGTTGTGTTGCTGCTATTGCTTGGGATGCTGCTGCTGCAATGGCTGCATTACTTCCTGCTCCCATGTGACCTAAATAAAGACAAAATAACTTAATATGTTCTTTTACAGTCTCTTACGAATTTACTTTAATCCGACTATTCAAAACATTGACTTGTCCCATACCCTAATGAAAAACCTTAAACAACATACTTATGTATATATATATATATATATATATATATATATATATATATATATATATATATATATATATATATATATATAATATTACCATTAATACAATATTTCAAAGCTTTATAATGATACAGACATAAAAACAATGTACATGATCCCTACCCAGACTGTAGCTGATGGACTGTGGCGTGGAGGTGGAGTTAAACATGGACAAAGCCGGGGAATTGGACCCAGAACTGGACTGCCGGCGACTGTGACCAATCGTCTCTCTTGCTGCTTCATTGGCTATGGTGGACAGGACTTTTTCTGTGGTCATTCGTTTTTCCGAGTGGTTTGTAACCTGTGACTGTGAATGAAGGAGCTTCCGCTCTAGGGAAGAAGGGGAATATACATGTAGGTTGTGTAACTTAGAATGCTTTAATGTAGCTTCTCTTGGAATGATACTGAATGCTAATGGAACACTGTAAATTTTTCTTGGCTAAAGATGCAAGTTTATTAACATAAAATAATAAAGTATCTCTGAAATAAAACTTAATGACATTAGTTTTTTGACATGAAGTAGTCTTAAATTGTCTTGTCATAAAGCATTGCTCAGATCAGGTAGATTCAGCATACGTTAATCAGGCTTACTTTCTGCTCTGTTGCTGCCCAGTGATGGAGGCTTATCCAACTCAAGAGATCCTGCCAGCAATAAGAGGAGAAAACAAAATAATGAATGTGTTCATCTTATTCATTTGGGTGTGGCCTTAAAATCTCATATAGATGCGTATTGTAATATATCTTATCAGTCAATATATATACAGTAAACCTTGTTATACTGAACTCAATGGGACCAAGATTAAACTTCAAAATATTCAAGGGTTCGAGATGAGGTTAAAAAAAATAAAGAAAAGGTGGTTGGGACCTCTAAATCACTTCTGACAACATATCCCTGCACAGGTATTCAAAACGTATGTATGGGTGTTCGAGATGATGAAGTTTAACTGTATATGCATGTATATATATTACATTTACCAAAGTGTACTATAGTGAAAAATATTTCCAGTATATATACAAACTTGTCTTTTTTTTGTATTAGTATAAGAGAGAAGGTATTTTTTTCCTACCAGAGACAGCCAAGGTATCAATTTTTAAAAAACAAATAATAGAAAAAAATGTTATTCCTCCACAGCATATACATTTATAGGTAAAAAAAAAAAAAAATAAAACAACCCATTTTACGTGTTAAAAAATTCAAAACTTTCACTTTGTCTGACTAAATAGTTACAACTTACGTTTCTCTAACACCTCTGTAATACCGGCATTATCAGCCTCGAGTTCCATCTTGAATTTAGACAACTCCTGGTCAAGTTTTCGTAAATGTCTGTCAACCTGATTCAAGTAAAGTAGAAAAATTCTAAACAGGTCAAAAGTCAACGAACAAAAAGTTACTGTTTTAATTTTGTTATAGTTAAATGAATGTTGTAGTACATGTATTGAATAAATGAGTATAAATATTAAAATTTAAATTACTTGTACAGTAATATAAAAAAAACATACTAGATCATATATGTGATTAGCTAGTTGTACTTTCTCATCAGCATCTTCAAGAGTTTTGTAATAATCCTGAAAAAAAAAACCCAAACATTCCATTCATTTTTCTTCATTTTCTTGTTTTTCTTTAAACTGAATACAGCAATAACTTTATCATAAGTACATGTATTAATTTATATCAATTAAACTTTGTACAGTGGAAAATAAATCAGAAAACTTTAATCAAAGGATCATATAACTAGTTTGTACAATTCTTTTTCTACAAATATTCTTGTATTAAATATACATGTACTTATTCAATATAATACACATTCATTTATACAAAGGAAAATTTTTTTCTCCTTTCAAATTCCATTTCTAGCTCATAAATTCAAAATCTTGTTCTTCCTGACATGATTATTATTAACATGCCATGAAGAATAGAATAAACTCTTGAGAATTTAACACACATATTTTTTTTATGAGTATGAATTTATACCTTGAATTTTTTTTTTAAAAGATGGCTTTATGTACCTGTTTTATCAGCTTAAACTGCTCATCTTTTGATTCAACCTTCATGTTTGGTTGAGTGCACTTCTTAAAAAAATTCTTTACTCTTTCATCTAGATTGTCTAAGGCATCTGTAAATACGATCATTTCAGAAACTGTAGAAACTTATTACATTTCATGTACCAGTATGCACAATACATGTATATTATTTTACTAACAAAGTATATTAACTAGAACTTGTAAATCAATATTTTTGATAAAATATTCTGCATTCTGTATTTCTTAGATCAATTTCAAATATAATTGATCGTTGATTGATAAATTTTTGTCTGAACAAATAAATTTAAGAGTGCTAAATGTTGTTCATGTATATCTGTACAATATGTTTAATTAGGAGCTCTCAAACTAAATCACACTAACTTTGAACTTGTAAATCCATTTCTCTCATCTCTGTTAGCCTCTCTCTCATCTCCATTGGCAAGTTCTCTATCACTGCAAGAAAAAAATCAAAATTACAAAGGATGCTGCAAGATACATATACCACTGACATGATATCAAGGCACTGTTAAGTATCTTTATATGTAAAGGAGGGTCAAGAATACTTATAAAATTTTTCAAAATACCTTGGAAATATTTTTTTTAAAGATGGCTATAAATAAATATAGATAACTCCATCATATCATCCATATAAATGTTATACTTTTCAGTAAACTATACTGCGTCTTGTAAGTCCAACTTTTTAAAAAAAACAATATTTAATATGACAAAATAGAACTATTCTCTGACGTCACATGCAAAGTCATGTTGTCTGAGGAGGATGCACACAATAGTTTTGTGGCATGGAAAGTGCATTAAATCGCTGTTTGTAATTTTTTTTCAAGTAAGTTGTTGCTATGCTTAAGCCACCATGTTGCTATGCACTGCGAAGGATTATTTGGAGTTTGGAATTTTTCACATGGACTCATAAAAATTTCTTTGAACAATGTGCAGATTTCAACCTGAATTTTCTCCGTTTGTACACAATGTCTATGGACCTCGCTGCGTCACTATTACATGTATGTATTGCCAAATGTTTATATGTGCTATGAATCTAAAACTTTTCTATATCTATGACTTATTAGTGCAATAGACGTTTTCAATATCAATGTAATCTGTCGCTTCATTTGCAAGTCAATTTTTTCCCTTTCATTTTCATTTTTTGATATGTCGTTCGCGTATTGTTTTGTACTGATATTTCAGTGCATGTATCATAAACCGTATTTTAGCAGCAAATATCGGTATGTATCTTAAACTATTTTGAATAGCTTTATAAAGCTATATAGCTATTTCAGCTCTAAAGCTAAATTAATAGATTGTGCTAAAGTGTTTAAATCCGCTTTTTAGTCTTTGACGAACACTTCATTTAAAATAATAGGTATATTTACAGCATTATCAAATTGCTACCTATTCGGCACTGACTAAATGACTGTAGGATTTACTGCTTCAAACAGCACATCCATGAATACCATGGTTGCATGTTTATATTCATTTAAAAAAGAAAGCTTGAAACTACATGCAGTAATAAATCAGAATGAAAAGCAGAAATATTTACCCCAACATATTCCTTTTTGATCTCTTATCAATTTACAAATGTATAAAAATATACCTACTCTCTAAATAATCTTCTAAGTACAACATGATTCTATTGTTAGTGTTTCCTTGCTTTCTTGTTTTTGTCAACTTTCACTTTCCAACCATGCGCCAATATTTTATGTAACGAGAGTACCAATTGGTCAATATATGATTTCTGAAAAATACAGATATAAAGAAATTTCACATAAATCAAAGAAATTCTAGTAAAATATGTTCAAAATAAATTGTGTAAAGCAATGTTTTCTTGAGAAGATGCCAAAATACCAAGTTTATAGGCACCGTGATGTATTATCAATTTAGCCAATGGACGCCAACTTAACACTGCAAAGAGGAGAAATTTTCGATCCCGATGTTATTTTTATAATCAGTGGAATTTTCATTTCTATATATGCAGAAAAGAGAACATGAAAATAACGATAGTTGATGGGTCATTACAGGGACCTATATACTAACTACTAATACTTAGTATATAGGTCCCTGGTCATTATTGATATTACATGTATTTCTCCCTATATCAGAATCTTTATTTCAAAATTTCCACAACCGAATGATTATATTTCGGACTCGACATTCAATGTTATCATCTGCTTTTGGAATAAAAGTTCACACACTGACTCAGTGACTGACACGGGGTTTTTAACTTTAAAAGTTCAATTTATAAACTGCAAAAGTTTATAATGCTGTCAAGGAAACTTTTACCCAAGGGAGTGTCAAATGCAATGAAAGGAATTGTTTGTCAATGCAGGTCATATTCGCAGAAGGAGGTACATATTATTCCACTTCTAAAGTATTAGGCTAAAAACTATTGTTAATTGCGGATCCAACCGGATTCAAAAGCATTTTGTTACGTCTAGTAAAATACTTAAATATGCTCTATGTTGCTATTTTTCGTCATTTATGACAACTTAGCACTTAGCAGCTGTCTCACTCGGGTAGTTGTGTGTTGGAAGTTTGAGAAATCAGTCCTATATAACTTTGGACAACATTTGAATTATAATTTTAATGTCTTATTTCTTATTTTCCCCATTGCTGTGTGACCTAGAATTTTGAGACATGACCTTGAACAAAGGTTCTGACACCGTCATTAGCACAATTACATTTGACCTTCGAGATTTTTTTCTAGTTGAGGTCATGACACATGTACATTTCATTTGTGATTTCAATTTGTATGAATTATCCGGTTGAAATTTAAAAGTCAATTTTTTAAAATCAAAGTAATATGCGTGTTTTAATTTTACACTTTAAGTCCTTGAAGAAAACATGTCTGTATGACTACCATGTCAAAAATGGTGGTAAAATGGTGCCATTTGCTGGATGGAGCATGCCTGTGCAGTATACAAATGGAATCTCAGAGTCTCACCTCCATGTGCGGTCAGCAGCAGGTCTGTTTGATGTCTCTCACATGTTGCAGACAAAGGTTACTGGTAAAGACAGAGTGCCATTTATTGAGAGCCTAATAGTGGGGGATATTGAAGGACTCAAAGACAACCAGGGAACCCTGTCTATATTTACCAATGAAAAAGGAAGTATTCTGGATGATTTAATTGTGTCAAAAACTGAGGAGGGGTACCTGTATGTTGTGTCTAATGCTGGCTGTGCTGACAAAGACTATAAAAATATGAAGGTATTTAGTTTAATAACGTTCACCATAATTTTCTTCTGAGCCAATAAATCTAATTTCTTATACATTAAATTTAAGAAGGAGATATTCTACCATTTTCTATGTTAATTATTTTATGACACATTTGTAGACTCAAGCTGAGAACTGCAGGAAGAAGGGAATGGATGTCAATGTAGAGATGATCTGCAATGGACTTCTGGCCCTACAAGGTGATGACAGGGAGTATTATAAAAAATTTCATGTTGTTCAGTGTGCAAATAATGGAGAAACACTGTGTGCATGAAAATTATTTTGGCAATGCATGCAAGATTGACCAATATAAAGACACTGGAGTATTCCCAGTCTTTATTTCAATGTCAAAATTTCTTGATTCATTTTCTGTAGTAAGAAATAACATCTATTATATAGCTTGTTGATGTTGACTGAATGTCTGATTTTAGGTCCGTCAATGGCTAAGGTGCTACAGGAGGGGGTTGACTTTGATCTAAATACTTTACCATTCATGACAAACAAGATGGCTTCAGTGTTTGGTATCCCTGACTGCAGAGTGACAAGATGTGGTTATACAGGAGAGGATGGAGTCGAGGTAATAGTGATGTATTGTTAGAAAAATGCTTAATGAAATGGGAACTTACTCTGTCAGGGTTCAGAAATTTCTTTCATAGGGAAAGTGTATACATAACCATGAAAATGTTGCAGTGGGTTGGAAGTTCCAACAAATTTATATTTTCTTTATGTTTTTTAACCTCAATATTTCAAACTGTCGGATATCTCAAAGTTTCAAAATGACGATGTCTGACAGAATTTTTTTTTTTTTAAGTAATGAAGTTGTTTTAAAGCATAGCATTTATATGAAATTCAAGTCATTAGTAACTCCTTATGTAACAAGGAACTTACAATGTAAGTTACAAAAATGTCAACAGGCCTGTACACTGTATATCTGCACTTTCATTAATCTATCCATAAAAGCATCCAAACCAACACACCTGTATATCTGCCCTTTCAATCATCCATCTGTACAAGCATTCATATCAACAGGCTTGTATATCTACCCTATCAATAATCCATCTACACTAGAGAGAGCAAAATGGTGAGTATAGTTTGACTTTTCAACCCCACATTTGCTATGCAGATGCTTAATGGACAGAGTAAAATGTATAGATTTAAATGTTTTATTCATACATATGTGATCTTGCACATAGGAATGGTCTGTGGCTAGTGGAAGAATTTAAGCCTATGGAATTCAGGGTAAAAAAAGTCAATGGTCATTGTTAAAGATATTCTCTGCATGTAGCTGTGGTGTGAACACAATTTGAAGAGTTCTACTGTCATAGTGAAGTTTGTTAGCCAATGTTGCCAATGGAAGAAGCCTGTTGAATCAAGGTCAACAAGTTAAGGTCAAGGAACTGTAGAGGTTAACAATGTTGTGAATTTGGAAGACACCATTTAGACTCCCAGTCTAAATATTCTTGCTAAAGAGCACAAACACTTGTTTCTATAATAAATTTTTTAACCCATAGTTTAATAATAACATTATTACACTATGGGTTAAAAAATTATTAAAGAAACCAGTGCCTGTGATACAGAGATATCATCAGAAGTTGCCAATTACACTGTATACATAGTTGTAAGCCAGAGGGTCAGATCAGAGGCGGAAGTAATTTTGACTGGATAATGGGCACATTTTTTATGCCCCCACCATAAAATGGCTGGGGGCATATATAGTGTTACCCTATTCCCTCTTTCTGTCATCATTGACTTTCCATTTGTTATCTCGGCAATAGTTGCACACATTCAACTCAAATTTGACATATGGATTAGTCATAAGAATATGCAGGTCAATTTCGAATTTGGTCATGGTCCGATGATTTTTGACAAAGTTATTCCTCTTGAACTTAAAAAAAAAAAAAAGAAGAAATTTTCAGTTTCCACTCTATAACTTTTGTAGGGATATATGTATAAGGTTGAAATTGCATATGCAGGTATTTTACCAGAAAATATAGATCAAGTTTGAATTTGGCCATGACTTTTGACATAGTTATCCCCCTTGAACTTGGAAAAGATTTAAAAATTCACAATTTCTATTCATTATCTTGTGCAATTTACAATTTGCAATTTGAAATTTTGGCTGCCTGCGGGGGGCATTTGTGGTGTTACAACACATCTAGTAAGAATATGACTACTCAATATCTTGAATGTAATGCAGAGATGCTTAGTGCAAATAGAGGGTCAATATCATGCCAGAGGCAGTGATTTGACACTATATCTATTCATCTGGCCATTTAGAACTTTCATTCTAGGATTGCAAATGCAATGCAATTCACTTGCTTTCTGGTGTCCTTATGTGAAATATTTTTTGTTTAGATATCAGTAAATCCTGACAGGGCTGAGGATTTGGCAAACACTCTGACTGGGTCCTCTAAGGAACAGGTCATGCTGATAGGTCTCGGGGCACGAGACACCCTACGTCTAGAGGCAGGACTCTGCCTCTATGGAAGTGACATAGATGAAACTACTACACCAGTTGAGGCTTCCTTAACATGGACAATAGGTGAAAATTGTTTTCAACATTTTATTGTACATGTACAACTTAGGTACTTTAAAGTGGAAATTTGTAGGGATAATTTATTTTAAAATAGGATGTTATCTCTCGCATATACATGTATAACCTCTATGAACCAATGCATTTTTACATAATTCATTCAAGAATAACAATACATTGTCCTTGTGTTTTGGTAATAACCCTGCCACGAATGATTTTTGCATGATTAACAATCACATTTACATTAACAATATGGTACCATATTTCATTTTCTCAAATTGCAGCTTTACTCTTTTTTACTCAAAAATTTTGGTACTTGGCCATCTGATATTTAGGAAAGATCCTTATGCTTGGCAAAGAGTACATGCATGTACTGAACTGTAGGCATTTATCCCATCTGTAAGACATGAAATAGCTCATAGAATATAATGAATTGGCATCAGTGTTTACATGTGTGTGGGTTTGGGAGGCTAAGTAGAGCACTCCTTGCCCTGCATGCTTACATTCTGAGAAAAAGATTTGATGAAAAACCATAAGACATTTTTTATTATCAGGAATCTGTAAGCTAAATTCTGTAATTTTTGCTTGTTCTTGAGAATTTTTACCCTAGGGAAAAATAGAGGAATTTCTTTTTGGAGATAAATACCAAATATTGGCAAGGACCTTTACTGTAGATTCCTAAATATACATGTACGTGAGGAATTAATTATCACGTAATTTCGCGAGAAACACCACTCTCAAAATAAAATTTACTCACTTTTATGAGGTCACCTGAGTCACTCAGGTGACCTATCCGTTTTTGTCCGTCGTGCGT